GTACGTACGTACGTACGTACATACATACATACATACATACATACATACATACATACATACATACATACATACATACATACATACATACATACGCACACATACTGTGTATGTGTATATATATACATATGTATGTATCCATATGCACAGAATTATTATGATTATTGTTATTTCATTATTATATATACACACATATACATAATCAATATAATACACATATTTTCAAATACTAGATACATGCGAATAGTATATAAGTACAACAGACAAATGAATGATTATGTGAGTATACATGGATTTTATATATTTATTCAAAAGGTAGCCCACTAGCTAACATCGAACCAAATAGACACAAAAGTAGATAGATATATCAATAGAATTAAGCGACATATCTATCAACATACACACGTAATATAAATGCATATATACGTATAAGCATATATATATATATATATACACATGTACATATATACGCATAGTCATGCTTTATGAAGTACATGTTGAGTTTCACCTTGAAAATCCATCCCAGGTCGTACATCCGATGAATCCGGCGCAAGGCATATATCAGGCAATGGAAGAAGGATGGCATGATCGACGATAGCAAACCAGACCCGTGGGGTCCCTACTTCGGTCCCAACTTGGGGGTGCAGCTCTACGAGTGTTCCAACGTGGGATAGTACTATAAATGGGATATCAATGGTCCATTTAACAATAGTAATGGGACATTAATTACTGGGATAGTGGGATACTAATGGATACTGATGGATAATTCTGGATGATTCAGTTATGGCCCTTAATGTCAAGCCCGGATGAGACTAAACCATGGCTTATGAAAATTAGGGGGTACTCCTCCAACAGTCATTTCATCTAATACTTTTTAATGGTAGCCTCCCAATTAAACAGCCGTTTGGGGTTTATTAATCCAGGGTTGACATGATATTCCAATATAGCCATACTTCGTTGGGGCCCTCCCAACTTCTGGAGGTGAACTCACCATTACGGGCCAGAGGATGATTGGGTAACCATCAGAGAAATATGGGGGATGTAACCAGCAGACTATGGGATGAACTGCTTGGTGGTTTCACATGGTGTCTTCTTGTCCATGCTTGAAATGGGTGATCCCGACGTTCATATCTTTGGGGCTGGCTTAACTTTCTGATCACTTATATAGTTGAACTTTGAAAGGTCAATGTGATCTTTCCGTTCATTTTCAGAGAAACAACTGCCGGACAACTCTGATTTTACTTGGATTTTGCCAGCGAACATATGGTGGTTTCCTGAAACAACATCCTGACACAAATCAACTGTGAGGTGGTAAGATCTTCTGGGGTACCCAGGCTGCTCCGCCGGCTTCTGAGGCCATATCCCTACACGGAAGAGATGGTACAAGGCGTGGGTCGCCGGCGCTGGTAACAGTTACTGAAACCAACCTCTGGAAGCTTCTTGTAAAGATTCGGTAGAGACCCAAATTCCTATTGGTTGATGAAAATAGAGAGTAGCACAAGCCCCAAAAACATGATTCGTGAAAATCTCAGTGTACCCTCTGGTAATTTAACATAGCTATTGAAAATCACCTTTTTTAAAGGGAAAACTCACTATAAATGACAATTTTCAATAGCTATTTTGACATAACCAGAGGGTATCCTGGGTCGCAAATGGCATCCCCAGAACGGAGGTTGGATCGATCGCACTAACCTGGAGTGGATGAGAAAACAGGCACGTCAGCAGCAGCAGTCACTTGGCTGAAAGCACGGCGCTGGTGGCAATTCACCCAATTTTTAGTACATCGAATATGAAATACTTGGGGATTCAATAAAAATGGGGATTGAATGGGAAAATTATGACTGGGGATACGTATATTATATACATACATATATATATATATATGTATACTATACACATATGCAATCATATGCATACATATAGAATTATCCTGAAACAGATAGACTATATATGGAATTTCCCTATAGATAGACTTCCTTTTTCAGGACGATTCTACCTGTATGGGATGATTTGTCGTGATGGCGATGACATTATGACATTCTTGGGTATTCCCTCTATAACTATAAGCCCTGCTTTGGTATATCTTCAGCTATTGATATTGGGGGAAAGAATTACCAAACAAATGTGAGACTAATGTCAGACAAGTCTCGTTGGGCAACAAACGTTGCTTTACTGCTAGCTGCTAACTAACCAACAAAACCTGGGGATATATGAACATAAATATATTATAAATATAGGGTTACATCGCCAAAATCGGGGGGGATAGGGGGATATACTTACAGTACCATATCTGGGATCTATAACTCTCTCTAAGCCTCTAATAAAAGGTGCAGGGTCTTCAAGGGCCTCCGAGTTGAGTTCCGTGTGATTCCACGTCAAAGACCGACATCCCTCACAGCAGGAGATACCCTCGGGAAAATTTACGATATAGCCCTGGACAATTACCAATTTCTAGATGATTTACCTACTAAACATTGGACAATTATCATGTTTTTGGTGATTTATCGCTTAAACTTAAACATAGTCATTTTCTCAAGTTTGCTCCAACCAAGTATTGGTAGATAATAGCCACAAGTGTGGGAAATGAATTGTCTCCTTATTTGAACATATTTGCCCAATTTGCCCCCTTGTAACTGGGCTGTTGGGAGCCTGTTTCTACATGATTTACCCATGGCTATGTTGGACCAGAGGATGTGGAGTCTAAAACACAGCTGAACCAGACTGAAGTGTACGCGGCGACATGATCATTGGTTCAGAGATGCTTTGTGGATAATTTATGATTGGCAGATCCTGATCTCAAGTAGCTTACCATGTGATAATTTTTCACATAGCTATGGAAGATGACCCATTTATAGATGATATATAAATATATATATATATACATATGTAATTATATATAATTATATATATATAACACTATATATAACACTATATATAATTATAATATAATTATTTATATTACATATATATATTACATATATATATTACATATATATTACATATATATTACACATATATTACATATATATTACATATATATTACATATATATACACACATATATATATATATTATAGATTATAGATATCAAATAAACATGGTGATTTCCCATAGCAAACTGTTAAATTACCCCGGCGCAAGTACAATTTTTAATGGACATTTTTTTTCCGCTCAGCGAAGTGCTTCGCCCACGGCCCCAGCAAAATGCTCGTCCGAAAGTCCGCTGAGGGCCGCTGGCAGGTGAGCCCCGCGTGCGGTGCATCTTCGAAGTCGTTGCTTCCAAAAAGTTGCGGAGAAGGGTGGGACTGTGGCTGATTGTACAAGCTTAAATATCGTTTATGGTAGTACACATCTAGTATATCTAGAGTGCCAAGTTTGTCAGTGAAACGATACCTGATTCTTGTGAGCCATAACAAGATGTGTACGAATCGTCTCACAATTTCCACGTGAAGCCCACTATGAATGTCTAATTTCGAAGGTACGGCAAGGAAAAAGGCTTTCATATGGCAAACAATTGGAGGGTTTTCAGTGAAAGGTGGAAAAGCTAAAAAGAAGGCAGCAAATCATGAGAAAGCCATGTAGTTTTTTCTGTCCATTCCGGGTGTTTGGGAACCGCCAGGGATCAGTTAACTTTTTTCTGTCCGTTTCTCCGAGATAGCCGGGTAGCCCCACAGCCAGCTGGACCATCTGGATGGGCATCCCCGAGGAAGTATACATACATCTACGACAACCAAGGTACCGAGCTTGAGCCTCAGGATATGATGCTGAATGATGCTGACAGGGATTGAGCCTCAGCTAGAGCAGTGATGATCCAATGGATGAATGCGAGAAAGAAATCTGATGAAAGAACACATCTGGGTGACTGGGCGAAGATTCTTGACATCCCCCCAAAAATAGCTGCTTCATGCTGCTTTCATCCACAAAAGTTTGTTTTTTCAACCCCGCTTGACTAGGAGGACCACCTCGAGAATTGGTTGGGTAATTCGCTTTGATGACAATGATTGTTATTGGTAGTACTACTGTACAATACATATATTATATATATATTGTCATGATATTGGTATTATTACTATTATTTACATTTATTTACTATTATTACTAGTACTACTGTTATTACTATTATTATATCATTACTATTATATTACTACTATTATTACTATTATTACTGTTACTACTATTATTCTTATGATTACTATTACTATTATTACTATTATTACTCTTACTAGTACTACTATTGCGAACAACAACAACAACTACTACTACTACGACGACGACGACTACTACGACTACTACGACTACTACGACTACTACGACTACTACGACTAAGACTACGACTACTACGACTAAGACTACGACTACTACTACGACTACTACTACGACTACTACTATGACTACTACTATGACTACTGCTATGACTACTACTATGACTACTGCTATGGCTGCTACTATGGCTGCTACTATGGCTACTACTATGACTACTACTATGACTACTACTATGACTACTACTATGACTACTACTATGACTACTACTATGACTACTACTATGACTACTACTATGACTACTACTACGACTACTACGACTACTACAACTACTACGACTACGACTAAGACTACGACTACGACTACTATGATTATTATTAGTGTTAGCGTTGCTATTGCTATGGTGGTGATGATGATGGTGAATCTATCCCATCCACTCCGACAACAAGTGGTGGCTGTGAATGGCAAAGACACATAGGCATACCAACACAATGAAACGTGTATTTTTCCAGATGCAACAGGTGTAGAATGTTTGCTGGTTGACCGACCACCATTACTGATGTGTATACACAATTATACACACATACATGATAATGATGCATACAAAGTGTGTTTGCTAAGTATAGATCTCAGGGAGATGTCATGGAAAATCCACATCAAACAACATAGATCAATATTTAATCCCCAAACAACGTTAGGAAAAATTCAATGAAAATGGAAAGGTCACTTGTTCCTTTTCTGAATCTTCTCAGGGGTTACGGGTTACACACCTCAAGCTCTTTGCGAACCAGGCTACACTGCATCAAGCAGCAAAGGTGTCGAGGGCTTGGGAACTTGGGGTGCCATTTTCTTGGCATGGCCAGCATATGTATCTGTAGGTGCCATGTATGTGGTGAACATGATGTTCTAATCATATATAATCCATTGAAAAAAGGGACTTTTTTATTCCAGTTTCAGACATACGAAGTGAACAATCCCCATTTTTTGATGGCAAAACAATGGTAAACACATGTAAAACACCACTGGATTGATGGTTCAATCCACATTTTTCATGGTAAAATCCAGCATTTTTGATGCTGAGCGTTGACGCTTTTCATTGCTGGCAGGTTTCCCGCCTTGTTGGACTTCCTGCCGTACCATTTTCTCCTGGTCTCGTCAGGCCCGATTGGATTCTGGGGAAGCCACGAGTGAAATGGGCAGTGTCTGATGGGAAAAACCATGTGACTGATTGGAGGGAATGTTTTTTTTTTCATAAGGTGCATATCGTTATCAGTTGATGGCTGAGAACCTTACCTTATATAATGTAAGCGAGTGATATGATGTTGTTTCTGGGATCCCAAATTCCAAAGAGTTATTTGTCGTATGTTTTTCGTTAGCTCGTGGTTTGCTTACTGTAGATAAAGCATCAAACGCTCCTTTTAGGTGCCACCCAATGGCGAATCTCACCCTTTCCAGGCGAACGCAGTGAGATCTGCTGGCGAGATATCACCCACGGCACACAGGCGACTTGTAGCATCACGACTTGTAGCGAATCTGTGGTACCCGATTGAAACATATTCAAAGCTACATTTCATATGAGGCCACCCCTTTGTTGGTGAATAGCAGGTCTTCATGGACGAACTTTGGTAGTAAAAAAAAAGGAAAAACAAATTCTAGAAACGCCTAGAAACATTGATACGCTGGCCGGCAAATATAACGGTTTTTGTAGGAATTATCTCAGGATCGTCTATTTCATTGTGGGTTCATATCCTCCAACGTGGTTGGCCTTGTCGATTGAACAATGTTACCGCAAGGTTGTGCTAAAAAAAGGTGAGTTCCAGTGGTGGTTCTACCTCCATGATATACCATCTGGTTATTTGTTACATAGCCATGGAAAGATCCACCATTTTTAAGTTCGGTAATTAAACTCTATTTCTATGGGCCATCTATACCATGGCAAACTGTTAGTCATAACCAGGCCGGGTATATCCCTCAGCAAACTATCATCGATGTGTAGAACCTATGTTTTCCCCAAAAAGAACATGATCTACAAATGGTGGAGATCTCCATGTCTGGCCAGGCCATATCTACATTCATCAACTGCAGGATACCCTCTGGTAAATTAACATAGACCCTGGCAGATAGGGGTTGGAAGACTAGTTTCCATTAAAAAATGGTGATTTTCAGGGTCTATGTTTATTTACCAGAGGGTAATTCGTATATAAACTTGGGTAGTCCCAACTTTGCCCCATTTGTTGGTGGTTAAGCCCCATTTTTGTTGGTTGAACCACCAGAGTATAAGTCTCAGGTGGCCGAGCATCGTACGCATTTGGGTGCCACCACGCACCTTGACGTTGAGATCTGGGGATGTTATGAGTGAGGAAAGGAAGGGATTTCACCATCAAAAATAGGAATCCAAGCTATATCTAACCATCAGAAATGCCGATTTAAGCAACGCACAGCCAAGATCGAAGCCTGGAAAGCCGGAGATTTTTCGGTAAAGATGGGGATTTTTGCAGCACCGCTGTAGTTGACCTATGTTGGGAAGGTATTTTGGCTGGTGACGACCGTTTTTTCGCAGCTGAAGTGCCAGGCATTTCACCAGGTCCAGAGATGGCAAGACGTAGCAGCCATAAGTTCAAAGGAACCTGCTCCCAGGTGCATGCGGCAAAACCCCAAGAATGCAGTGATGCACCTGGGTCACAACCAGGCCGGAGCAGTTGACAGCTGGCCTCCTATTGCATCCTTTGAAAAACCGGGAAGATCTTTTCAAAAAGTCTCATCCGACCTGGTAGATTTGATTTGACATGTCAAAAACTGATTGGTGGTTTGGAACATTTGGAATGGATTTTAATGGATTATAGTGGTTTAATGGATTTTAATGGATTTTAATGGATTTTCCCATATATTGGGAATAATTCATCATCCCAACTGACGAAGTCCATCATTTTTTCAGAGGGGTAGGGCTCAACCACCAAGCAGTTTGCCATGTCAAAAATATCTTATGGAGGATCCAGTCAATGGGAATTCCAGGATCCAATTGATAGAGGTACGTAAACGTACCATATTATTTTAGCCATATTTTGGGGGTATATCCCTTTACATAGGCCTAAAAAATAGGCCTTATATATGGTAGGTACCTCCAATCAATCGGTTCCTGAGTCATGGCCATTGATCCATGGGATCTCATCAGGGCCCATTATGATCAGCTGCTTCAGCTGAGCTCGCCAGGGCTTGGTCACCCTTTGGACCCCGTGGGGCACCCAGAAAATCCACAACGTAAGGACAAAAATCGCCTGGCACATGGCAGGATGGCCAAAAATCCTCCTGAGTTTTTCATGATTTTAATATCATGATTATCATGTCACAATGTCCTATCACCATAGATCCCCAGCCGGAGGTTTTTTCGTATCCCGGCCGGGAGATGTTCGACCAGGGTTTGGACACTACAGCGGTTGAAATGATATACCATAGAAATACACATGACATGTAGAGGAACATACTTCCACAACTTTCTTCATTTGGTCTATTCTTTCCAGAAAAACGGGATGAATTACACCCCATATCCAATGGCTTAAGCATCATTTTCCAGAATTTTCATGGCATTTTTGGGGCATGCGGCATACATGGCATACCCACTGGCCACATGATACGCTTGCAATTTTAAAACACCTGGGAGATCCATGTGCCGGTGCTGAGGAGCGTGAAAGAGCCGGTGGTGAAGATTTCGTGTCACAACTCCAAGGTGCGCGCGTCGCTGGGGCGCGTTGGCGGCCAGTTGGTTGCTGGGGAAACCCCAGGATGGTAGATATGGTAGCGTTTAGCCATGTGACGTCCCTAAATTGGAGCCAAAAGCAGTTACAAATTATATCAAATTATGGGAGTTACGGGCCCTTTTTAATGGGGAAGTCAATGGTTAAGAAGGGTTGGGCATGGGTGGGCCCCGTTGGGCCTTGTGCTGTGAGAGTTGTTCAGCCGCGTCTTTTTTGAGCGGGGTCAACAAGC